ATGTGGTTGGAGATAAATCTTAATTGAGAATAGCTATTCATCATGAGACACATGGATAAGAAAATGAAAAAGAAATATTGTGGAATGTTCTGTAAACCTGAAGCCTCCCAACATTTGGCTGCAATTCAAAAATGACGTACGTATTAAGTGAAGTAAGAAGAAACAATTTGAGAAAATCGTTTCAAAGACCGGCGAAATTAAACAATAGCGTCCCAGGAGCGTGAACGCTCCAATGACCTTGAACGCATGCTAGTCGCTGGCTAACAGCATCTGTCATTATCATAGCTGAAATATCCACGCTATTCATCAACTTAGGAGCAAATTTCACCCAGATCACGTTTTTAAGTACTGTCTGGACATTGTGTTAATATCTCGTTAGAGTTAGGATTAGGGTTAAGGTAAGTATTTGGGTTAGGGTTAGGATCAGGGTTATAGTTAGCATTAGGGTTGGAATTACGGTTTGAATAATGGTTATGATTAGGGTTAGGATTAAGGTTAAGTTTAGTTAGGGTCAGGATTAAGCTTATGGTTACGATCAGGGATGGATTTATAGTTGATGTCATTTATTGTAATTTGTTTTATTATCCACGTTTTCCTGGTAAGTAGTCGTCTATCCTCTTGCTGGAAACCATAATAATTCAACCGAGGGCTTTTTTGGAAGACTGCGAGCAGGATGAGAGAGATAAACGGTTCTGTAGTCACCCTGGTGAATACATGTACAGAAACTAGTCTAACTTAGCAAGTGATACTCCTCGTTACAACTAGGACGTATTTTTAAGCCATGTCAGCGAAAGATAACCTGTTTAATGCCTTTCCAAGCATTTTTCTTGTCAATATTCATCATTTTTCGAGCAAACATTTCTCATTTTTACGGTTGGTCAGCTGAAGGTCACTCGTGCGTTCGCACTCCTGGGACGCTATTGTTGAACTTTGCCCAAAGACCTATGAATGCCGATAAACTGCAATACATATTTCCCATACGACCGGTTATTATCATTCTTCATCTGAAACACAAAGTACCCAAGGTTAACCACGTCTTATTCTATGTATCTATCAATTAAACTACTTCTCTCCTCTCTTCTAGAGCCAGTTATATTACCTGTTGCTTCAGAAAAACTTAATCTTCCATGTTAGGGAACAACTGCCAGTTTGGTCAAATGAGCCAAAATCATCAAGAGTTCAACATATTAGATCACTAGTTCCAAAATAGACCATCAGCTTGATTCCACACCACATTTTTGGTACAAGTTTAGAATTTTCAGCATGTGATATCGGTAGGCCAAATTTCGTAGGCCAGCCAATTGATATCAGGTGTGCCTCGGCAGGGGTTCGAACCCCGGACCATGTGCATGGTCTGCGAGAGTCCTAACCATTGTGCCACCGACAGATGCTTTTCAAGTGTAATCTATTCATCTTATTGATTCGATGTTGTCAGGAATACTCTTTGCTCACTAATCACACTGACTGACTGACTGACCGACCGAAGGGTTTCAACACAGAACTCTGCACAGATTTGCAGCAGTTCAAGTCGCCAATCTCTCTTCATGCACCACATAAGACAAGATAAGAGAGTAAAGATTCAAAAGAGAGATACTAAACACAAATATGAGGCAAAAAGAATAGTAATATCGGAGAAAAATAGAATTTTATTGGATATGATAAATCACAAGGAGTGGATGCATCAACACTAGCCGTTGAGAACTATTTTCAGCCATATCACCAATTGTCTCCAGCCTTCATTGGTGTTTACCGTCCCAAGGATCCCAACCAGCCAGCCAGTCTACACCTTCCTACATGGTTTAAACAAACTGTTGTGGATTTTATTGGCTGATTAGGTCATGTTTTCATTTGACCACCACTAGCCTTCTCTTTTCTAACCTAACCCAATGTCAGTCACCTAACGCTGCCCGTCGAGAAAGGCGATGGCTAGGCATGCATGCGTAACACATGTCTTAACCATCTCAATCGATGCAGCTGCTTCACAACCTCGTCTATTGATTTCCCCTCCTACCTAACCAGCACTCGACGCCTAACCTCAATATTGCTCACCTTATTATACCACTTCACACGGGAGATAGAACGCAGGCACCTATGATCAAAGACAGCTAGCCTTTTCGTAATACCCTAAGAACCGTAATTGTTTTGTTGTGTGTTATTGCGTTCGGGGTTTGGTTGAGTAACATCTCACTCAATTTTGATTTTCATTTACTGAGTCGCATTCACCACTATGTTTCCATATTTACTTAATTGTCTGTCCATGTCATAATTTTTCTGGTATTAGATGGTTGGGGACAATCGGCCATAGGAATCCCACCCCGCTGACCTAGGCGTATTTGCAACCGCCTTGAAGGAACTCATGTCCCTTCTAAGGAGATTTAAACCCGCGTCACCCAGTGCCGCCTGCAGTCAGAGACGTTACTACTGAGTTAGCTATTCGGGTTCGCAATCGACCTCCTGTAGGACTGTATTGGATATTGTTAACTGGACACTAGTGAGTAACTAGTATAGCGTGTGTGTGTGTGTGTGTCTAGTTCTATCTTCAGTGATGGCCACATTGCATTGCAAGCTTGACTGATAGAATTCAGTCTGCAGTGAAGATAGGACTAGACATACACACACTACACTAGTTACTGACTAGTGTCCAATCATAATTTTTCTCTTATTTTTCTCTCACTCTCACTCTCTAGAATAAAAATTCACTCTATTGTTCAGTCTTGTTACAAGCGAAAACCGACAAACTGCTCGAAGAAGCAGCAAAGACAGGACTCCAGGTGAATATAGACAAGACGGGGGTTATGAAAATAACCAACCAACCAACAACAACAACAACAGCAGGAGCAACATCCAGCGCCAATCACCATCAACGGGAGGGATTTGAAAGAGGTTACTTCTTTCACTTATTTACGGAGCATTGTCTCAACTACAGGAGGAACGGACGAGGATGTCAAATCGAGAATCGGAAAGGCGAGAAACACATTCATCAACCTGAAACCAATCTGGAAATCTTCGTCACTCAGCTTGCATCAACAACAAAATTCGGATATTCAATACAAACGTCAAGTCAGTTCTTCTATACGTACGGATCAGAAACTTGGCGGGTCACAAAGAATATTTCCAACAGCCTGTTGCAGACCTTTATCAACAACTGTTTTCGTCGCTCTATACTGAAGATCAGATGGCCGGAAAGAACAAGAACCAACAAGAAACTATGGGAACAAACCAAACAAGAACCAATCGCCCAACAAATATGCAGGAGAAAGTGGAGATGGATTGGACACTCGCTGAGGAGGCCACTGGGTGACATCGCGCGTCAGGCCATTGCTCGAGTGGAACCCGAAAATGAAGCGGCGAGTGGGAAGTCCAAGGGTGACATGGAGGAGATCGTGTGAAGAAGAGTTGAAACAGTATGGACTAACATGGATGCAGGTGAAAAGTACAGCAGAAGACAGAAGCGGGTGGAGACGTGCGGTTGAAGGCCTATGTTCCACTAGGAACCCAAGGGAACAATAATAATAAATTGTTCAGTCTTGTATTCTATCCTTAGTAAATCCTTGTTTCTAAGCTAAATCTGAACTCTGTCTGCCACCTTCCTCTGGTCTAATTAAACTATGTAAACAGTTAACCCCATCTTAACACGGAACACAATAATTTGTCTACTTACATCATTTTTGGAATTATCTTGCTTATACCTTCTACCCACAACTCGACGTCACTGTAAGAAAAGTAAGTTCAGAAATGTTGGGACTCTTTCTTTCTATGTTTTGATATTGTCTAGGGTTTAAGCCAGTTGAAAGGAATTCACGAAATACAATAGAACTCATAGTGTGGCGAGTGCTACTGATAAGATTTATCAGTAGTATATAAAGAGTGTCGCCCATAGACATAAAAACATCAAATAAGCAGGGAGATATATTTGATTTCAGAGAAGGTAAATGATACAGCGTTGTGGAGATACACTGGGGAAGTGAAAGGAACACAAAGAAACACAACACGAAGTCCAGAAGTATCACAAAACGAAAATCTGTGCAAATGGTGCGTTGAAGATAAGGTATATACATAATTTGGCGATATATAGAGATACCAAATTTTCGTCTTCTGCCGCTTCTGTAGTATTATCCTGAGAGTGTGTTCATCATTCTTTTCTTTGTTCAAACTGATCAATTGAACTTTAATTGAATTTTAGACTTTTCCCGTCGATTGATTGATTGGACCGAAGTGCTCGGTCTCAGGTTGACATGTCTGTTGGCTTCTTGTGCAGATACTTCGACGATTTTTGGGCATGTAATCAGAAGTTAATTGGTGGATGGTGACTAGCAGTGAAATCTAGGATGCACATTTCGTCCTATTTGGGGCCCGTCATCTGGATGTAACTGCATTCCCCAGTGGTCTAGTGGATAACGCTTTGGCGTTTGAAACTATGGTGCGTCGGTGGCACAGTGGTTAGGACTCTCGCCGACCATGCACATGGTCCGAGGTTCGATTCCCTACCGACGCACACCCGATATCTCTGGTCGGCCTGCAAAATTTGGGCTACCGATATTCATGCTGAAAATGCCATACTTGTACTGAAAATACAGTGTGGCATCAAGCTGTAACCAAAATAATAAAAAAAATTTAAAAAATACTGGGTTTGAGCCTCGGTGCGGGGAATATCATCACTCATTGCGGAATGCAGGTACATCCAGCTGGCAGGCGAGTCTCAAATAGGACGAAATGTGCATTGTCCTGGATTCCACCACTGCTAGTCACCATCCACCAATTAAATTCTGATCAAACTGAACTGTTTGTATGAAAATGATCTAAGCAAAGTTTCCCCTTAAGGAGTAATATTCCTAATACCCTGATAATATACACCTCTTAATGTGATTTATTAGCCATAAAGCTTAAATTCAACTTAATCATATACTCACACATAGGAAATAATCCTATTTCATCTGTTGAAAAAATTTAAGGTCAAGTATTACAATTTCAAGGTGAATTGATTATTATTTCACTCTTATTTAACACCTTATAATTCCTTTGTCATTTAATTGAACGACAATATTATCTACATAAACACAAGCACAGGAACAAACAAACACCCAGAAGATGCGTGTGTGCGTTGACTAACTGGACTGACTGATTTCAACATAGAACTTTGCACCGATGTGCAGCAGTTCAAGTCGCCATACTCCCTCTATATAGCACACAAAGCAAGAGAAAAAAGTAAAAAGAAATGCAAAATAGAGACAGTAAACTGAGATATGAGGCACAAAAAGAATAGTAATATCGAAGAAATATATAGTTTTATTGGACATTATAAGTCACAAGGAGTGGATGCCGTATCACCAACTGTCCAACCCTCAATGGTTTTTACCATCCCAAGGATCCCAACCAGCCAGCCAGTTTACACCTTCCTACGTGGTTTAAACTAACTGTTGTGGATTTTATTGGCAGATGAAGTCATGTTTTCGTTTGACCACCACTAGCTTTCTCTTTTCCAACCTGACCCTATGTCAGTCAGTTAACATCCCCTGTTGTCGAGGAAGGCGATGCCAGGGCATGCATGCGTAACATATGTCCTAACCATCTCAATCGATGCACTTGCTTCACAACCTCGTCTATTGATTTCCCCTCCTACCTACCTACCTAGCACTCGACGCCTAACCTCAATATTGTTTACTCCATTAACCACTTAACACACGCGGGAGATAGAACGCAGGCACCTATGATCGAAGACACCTAGCCTGCTTTTTCATGTCTTCCACTCTCAACGGCCAGGTCTCACAGCCATAAAGGAGCACGGAGAGGACTGCTCAGCAATACACACGCCCTTTGGTCGACAGTCTGCCAGATATCGCGTCTAATAAACCAGAGACGGCCTAAACTGGCATCTGCGAAAAGAGCTTTCTGTATCTGTGTTGAGATTTCATCAGCGATCAACCCCTTGGCTTTGGCTAGGCTGATGCAACTTCCCAAATAAGTGAAGTGGTCAACACGCTCTACCACTTCACTCCCTACCTGTAAGCTAGGAGTTAGTGTAGTCCAGTCCTGTAGCATCATCTAACATTTGACGGGAGCGAATCGCATGTCAAACATTCGAATATTGATACTCATGCTTAAGGTGTTCAGAAGACTGCTGCATTTTGTCAGCATATGCACCTAGGAGCAGGACTATATCATCTGCATATTCTAAGTCAACGAGATTATTCCCTGATGGTAACAAGTCAATCCCTGAGTCGCTGAATTCACTTAGGGTTAAGTCCATTAGTACATGGGTAGTGGGCATCCCTGACGGACACCACTAGTTGTCACCAGTTTAGATGACATTAAAATACATAACAACACTCATAAGAATCGGTTTGGCGGGGGGCGGGTTGTGCGAAACACAAAAACTTACATGGTACAAGAAATAAGTAAATCGGTATACTCAATAAGCCGACTATTAATCCAGGGACAACAAATGACCAACCCCAAGCGGTTTCAACAAATACACCAGCAATTAAAGAGCCTAAAATATTTCCAATACTTGCATGCGCTGTCCATACACCCATAAAAAATCCTCGTCTAAAAATTGCAAAAAAGAGAAAAAAAGCCAAGGATGGATGAGGCGGTTATGTGCAAAATAAAAGTCATAAATTCAAAGCATACAAATATATTAATATATACATATATGTGTGTCGGTGACTGAATCGTAGAATGCACGCCACTTATGCAGGAGACCAAGGTTAGACTCCCAGCCGAGAGCAAAACCCAGAAAAGAACTCCCCTAGTTTACTAGCCGATCCTAAGTTCGGAAAAAGATGGAAGGCTGGGCATAAGGTTAGCAAGTCTACCCTACAAAATCAACACCCAGTCGGCGGTACAGAATCTTCAAAACGCAGAAATAATAAGATATAAACTTGTTCTTTCGTTGGAATTGGAAAGACGGGATGATACAGGTTGATGAAAGCCTTCTGGAAGCCATTTAGTTAGCCTATAGGTCTTCTTTTAATGAAACCAAAAATAACCACAGACATGAAATGTCTACACAATGTTTAAAACTGAGATGGCTGCGCAGTTTCCAATGAAATGATGATATGGTACAGAAGTATTAAACATTTGTGAGAGGAGGTGGAATGGAAGTCGAATCTCCAAATTGTTAACTGGAGAGTCAAACTTATCTACTCTGGTCACCCTGATGACAACCAACAGCACATCAACGATGTCATCAACAACAGCCGAAGCTCTTAATGTAGTGGGAACCAATCTCCTCGAAGATAATGACAGCAAGATTCAATTCCAAAGGTAGGAAAGTTATAATTATCCAATATTATCCAATGCTACACGACTACAAACAACTCAGACTCAGTGGAGAAGAAGGGAGAATTCTACAGACAGCTACGAACAATAGTGGACAAGAGCCCGAATGACGATATCGAAATCCTAATTTGTGATATGAATGTCATACTGGAAAGAAAACAACACAGAAAGAGAACTCCTCATGGGTCGGGAGACTCTTAGTAAGATGAGCAACAAGGGTGAATTCTTCTCAGACTTCCACACCGTGCAGTCGAGTGGAACCCAGATGGGAAACGAGGAGTTAGGCGTGGCACGGCGCGGAAGTCTAAGAAGAATTCGCCCTTGTTGCTCATCTTACTAAGAGACTCCCAACCCATGAGGAGTTCTCTTCCTGTGTTGTTTTCTTTCCAGTGTGACATTCATATCACTCATTAGGATTTCGATATCGTCGCTCGAGCTGTTGTCCATTACTGTTTGCAGTAGAATATCTGTAGAATTCTTCCTTCTTCTCCACTGAGTCTGCGTTGTTTGTAGGCATGTAACATTGGATAATTGTAACTTTCCCATCTTTTGAATTGAATCTTGCTGTTATTATCCTGGAGAGGATTGGTTCCAACTGCATTAAGAGCTTTGGTTGCTGTTGGTCGCATAATTGATGTCCTCGTGGTTGTCGTCAGAGTGACCAGAGTAGATTATTTGACTCTCCAGTTAACAATTTGGAGATTTAACTTCCATCCCATCTCTTCTCAACAAATTTCTAATACTTTTAAACCATCTCATCATTTCATTGGAAATTGGGCAGGTATCGCAGTTTCTAAACATTGTGTGGACATTCCATATCCTCGTGGCTAATTCACTGAATGAATTGTTCTCTATTCGTGAAAAATATAAACTCCCTCGTATGTTCGCCTGCATTTCAATTTATCAGTTGATGTACTCTATTGGAGCAAGTACATCGACTGCAGCTCCAGAGAACTCTTTTTCACACGGACACATACATGAAAGCACAATTCAGTATGGTTTTACAAGAGACAAAGAATAATGTGAGAAACTCTACTTAAGAACACTTGATCACTCAGTGATTATGAGATCCTCTATCAAATTCATATCATGTTTTCTTTATTTCTAAACTTCTAAAGACAGTGGAGGTCTTAGTTATTCATGAATTTAAGCTGAAATATTGTACAGTTCCTGTTTCTGTCTTAGACACAGAACAGTTTCCAGTATTATTCCACTTGCCGCATTTATCACTTTGGTTCAATAAATTTTTGAAATGTTAAAATCCATCACGTCAGACTTCTTACCATGTTACACGGTGTCTTTTTTTAATTGCCTACTAGTCCTACAATTCTGTATCCCTTTTCGACATCTATACATTCTATGAACTGTTACATATATATATAAATATATACCATTGTCTCCTTAAGTTCCTAGAGAAACATCGAGCCTTAGCCGCACGTCTCTTCAGTTCTTCGCCAACCTTTTCACCTAGCTCCACGTCCGCCCATATGCTTCCATCTCCTCAGACGTATGACTTCCTGCATGTCACCCTCGCACTGACAACCAACTCGCCGCTTCCCATTCGGCGGGTTCCACTTGGGCGATGACCTGGTGTGTGATGTCACTTACTTGATGGTTTGTTTTCTCAGAGTATGGCCAATCCAATTCACCTTCGTTTCTTCCTGCATATTTGTTGCACAAGTGGTTCCTGCTGGGTTGGTTCAACCCCAGAGATCCTTGTTACTGATCTTTTCTGACCGGCCATCTGATCTTGAGTACTATTGAGCGAAGACAGCTGTTTATGAAGGCATGTAGTTTGTTCGAAGTGCCCTTCGTAACGCGGCGCCAAGTCCATGATTCGTACAGCAAGTAGCACTGACTTCACATTGGAGTTGAAAATCCAGATCTTATTTTTCATGCTGAGTGCTTTGCGTTGATCTCCACACAGACTTGAGAGTAATGAAAACTTGCTTTGCTTTCCCGATTCTCGCTTTGATATCCTCATTAGTTCCGCCTGTAGTTATATATGACTATATAGCCTCATAATAAATTCGTTGACAAGAGTCCCCCTTTGCTGAACATTATGTTCTTAGTAGGTATTCGCGTCTCGGTGTTCTCATCAACTCAACCGTGTTAATAATTAGAGTTGAGAATCCATTTTACGAATTCCAGTTGAACATAATCCTCTATGTGTTGTATCTTCGTTTACTGGAATTGGTTCGTTGAGAATTATAATTACCAAGAGTTTGGTTTGTAATGATTAGATTTATACGAGTTCGACCACGGATTGATATCAGTTAGAGAACCATTGAAAACCATCCAGGTAGTACCGGACAGCTGTTTTATCCCACTCTGTGGGCGTGGGTTCGAATCCCACTCATGACACCACTTTGTGCGTCGGTGGCACAGTGGTTAGGACTCTCGCCAACCATGCACATGGTCCAGGGTTCGATCCCCTGCCGACGCACACCTGATATCTATGGTCGGCCTGCAAAATTTGGGCTACCGATATCATATGCTAAAAATTCCATACCTGTACCGAAAAATACGGAGTGGAATCAAGCTGTAATGAAAAAAAGAATCATCGGCAGTACGCACCCACTCCACTGCCAGGGTTCGAACCCAAGGCCTTCCGGTTTCAAGGCAAACTAGCTCGTATACCATTCAGCCACTGGGACCCGACTCCTCAATGGCCAGTCCATGAATTCTAACTTCTACCAATTCGTGATTTAGCGCGACTGGCATCAACCAATGTCATCGGTGGGAACTCCATCCTCATTGCCGACTGGATGGACCTCACTGGTTACGACTTCTCACTGGAACTCCAGGAAATTCTGTCCTGTAGGAAGTCAAGTTAGAATTCATGGACTATCCATTAAGGAGTCAAGTCCCCGTGGCTGAATGGTATAAGAGCTAGCTTGCCTTGTAACCGGAAGGCCCTAAGTTCGAACCCTGACAGTCTGACGAAACAGCTGTTCAGTACTCCCTGCTGATTTTCAATGGTTCTCTCTCTAACTGATATCAATCCGTGGTCAAACTCGTATAAACAAATTCTAATTACCCATTACAATTATTACAAAAACTACAAATAATCGCCACGGAAGTCAGTAATTTTCTCGTTCATAATATATCGTGGGTTGATGTATATATATTCATGAAAATAATAGTAATCAATACTTCAACATAACAAACACTATTTCTCCCGTGAATAGTTATCAGGAAGATATTCATTATTGACACAGAAAAAAGAAATTTTTTTCGCTTACTTATTTTTACCAAACCAATTCCCCATACAAGCGACAACAGCTGGCCAACCAGTCGCTTGTACAATTCCTCCAAGACCCTAAATCAAGTTGACAAAATGTGTGTTAATGTATGATGCATTAGTCTTAATTTTGTTTTACAAAAAAGAAAAAGATAAGAAGACTATCTGATCCATTACAAATTATCATGTTGCGCTTACTGGTCATTCATTATATTATCAAAATTCCCTATTGTTCAAGTTTCAAATCTAATCACTAAGTTAACAGGCTTGTCATATCAATGAATTTCAAGTCATATTTAACAATATAGCATATATTCCTCATCAGTGATGGTCTGTCATAATCTGAGTAGGACTGCACTGACGTCTGTCAATACAGCAGTGAGTAGGGCTACTGAGGGGCGGGGCGGGTGTCGTGAGATTCAGCTATCCCCTGTTGATATACCGGATGAGAGAGGTAGACGGTTTTTTTTTCTGTCAACTGTTTTTCATCCCTTAATACGGAACATTAAATTGAGTAACAGAAAAGAATATGAATAGCTTTTTAACAAAAATAAACCAGCTAAATCTCTCTAAATGTCAATAGTACACACACACACACATATTAACCCCCTGAAGGCTCCAATCCAGGAGTTTTTATGCGATTTAGCCACTGGGACACAGAATCCAAGAACTCATCAATTGTAACTTCCTCAGTTATACACGCGATAAACAGCGCAATGGCCAGCTAGTGTCATCAACGACTATCCGGTCCTCACATCCAACTCGGTGGATGGTATATGAGGTTAACTTGTAAACCTGGAGGTCCTGGGCTGGCCGCTTTCCTGGTGGGGAAATGGGTGTGTGTAGTGTTGAGGAGTCTTAAAATAAGGACTCCTTGGTTCCCAGTGGTTCTCTGACTGAAGTCAGTTTATGCTGACACTTGAAAATTATTATTATTATTGTTACATAACATAATATTTAAAAATTCATATTTACACATTTAGGAAATATTCCGCTTAGTTCCTCACCCTTCAACGGCTCTACACTTATACACATACATACACTTTGTTTTGTATCAAAAGTACACCGGAATTGTAAAACAAGATACCAAAGTCAAACGACAAGTCGTGGTTGACCATGACAAAGAAAGAAGCAACACGAATTCGGCATTTGTTCAGATGAATTCCGATTACCTCTGTCGTGTGTAGAAGTGGTACTCGTGGAGTGTACTAAAGGTTGGGTCAAATACGGTGACTAACTTGAGAGTACTGGTGTAACAAGAGAAGACAAGGGCCAAGCAACAGATCGTTTACTAAGGAAAATCAACACATATTTATAGATTTCAATGTACATTATTGTAGATTATTGTTAGTAGAAAATACAGTCTTTTGATTGGTTGTTTGTCACAGAAATTTAACCTTGCATCTCTTTGTGGCTGTGTCAGATCATCTATATGCTAACTGTATCCGCTTACGCAAAGCCTTTGTTCTCATTTTCTCACCACCAATATTGGGGACATAAACACTGACGTCAGTTACTGTCTACCAACTTTGGTTAGCAGCCAGCTCTCACCACACTGGGACAGCTTTTTCGTCCTAGTTTGAGAACTTTCAGAGGTACGCACCCACCGGGATTTGTGGATAGGCAGGCCATTGAATTAGCGGGTCGTAGTGTCCTAATGGTCTATGAGCTGTCCTTGTAACCAGAAAATCCAGTGTTCGAATCCTGGCGGTGGGTGCGTGCTACTGAAGATTTTCAAACTTGGCCGAGACAGTCATACAGTACTCTGTGTAGGTTTTCCAATGGTTCTCTAACCGATGTCAGTTCATAGTGAAATCTTGTAACCAACCAAATCCACGCAAAAACCAACATTTGAATACAGTGACTAACGTTTGTAAAAGCTTTTATAATATCGAATTTATGTCCTGTATTGACGGGATGAGTTAGCAGTATTGAACTACCTGTCACTTTATTCAGTCTTATGCCACACTTCATGAAGGACACAAAGGAAGACAGAAGAGAAAAAATTTCAGAAGAACGATAATAACCAGGAATGTGAGGGGGAAAGCCTAATAGCATGCAAAACCGATGGAATTTTCTTCGGATATGGCAGATCACAGAGGGTGATTGCATCGTCGCCTTTGAGAACGATTTTGAGTCATCTTAATATGTAATATAAAGGGGAAATTAGATGCGATATTGTACTACGTGCTGAAAACTTTATACTCTATCATCAAACGTACTGTTTGGAATGAAGCCGTTATTATTATCACTATTATTATCAGTAGTAGTAGTAGTAGTATTAACGTTCATGAATTTAACAAAAATAGTAATAACAGTTTGCAGAGACCCACAAATGAACATCTGATTTTCAAAATGAATAATTCCATAGATTTAAAATGTTATTAAGATAATAATACAGTTAAACGCTTACTTGAACAATCGCATAATAAGCGAAAGAGTGAATATTAAAGAAATATCCAAGTCCAAAAGCAATTGTTGTTAAACCCGATAAAAATGTACCAATACACAAGTATATTCTCAGGTCAATTTTATCTGCAATATGTCCACTATTGTAAAATTTAATGTAAGTGTGTGAAAAAAAGGCAAACAATGAAAAGAGGTATACAGAGGTATGTATAAACAATGAGTTTATGTACATATCTAAAGCAGAGAAATAGACAAATGAGACTGTAGGTTCTAAAAATCGAAAAAGAGGTAAACGAAAATGTTTGTCACACACTGTAAAATTTCTAAGTATCAATTCTTTCACACACAGAGATCTTACCTATAACTTTTAAAATTTGTTCCGATGTAATCCAAATAAAGTAAACTTAAGTAATATTTTTCGCAACTGAGACCTCTAGTTGAAAGATGTGATAAAACAACTTGCTCTTTGGTGCAATCAAAAATCGACAGATATCCTTGTCATGTTAACTCCAACTGTATATACAAATTTACATGTATCTGTAGGAGCCGTTACGATTTTCCCAACATGTGCTAAAAAGCGTACGTCTAAAGGGAACACACGCTTTAAACAGTGCCATCGCCAGGCATCTCCTTGACATGGGTCATGAGGTGGACGTCACAAGATCGTTCGAAATTATCAATAAGCAAAAGAGTTCAATTCTCCTTGAGTTTGACGAAGCGATCTTCATCGAGCACCTGAAACCTGATTCATGCGTTCACAAAGAAGCAGTTATCAGCCTTTCTTTGCCCTGGTAACTGGATATATTATCACCCTCTCTTTCATCTGATTACGTACTGTCGAAAGTTTCCACTGTGTATGATCATTATTTTTCGGAATAGTGTTTGATATGATATATATATATAATTACTGTATGCATATACTGATTGATTGATTTTTGTTTAGAAATGAACTCTGTGCAAGTATGTTAAAGTTGGTTCTGTAGATATACTTAATAATGATGGTACCATTTTATTCTGCAAAAACTGTTGTTCTTGATTTATTCAAATAAATAATCACTGAGCAAGGTCATCGGGTAGATATTTGTGTCCCAGGCTATCAGCCATTCTTAGTTACATGAGGTTTCCATGACGTTTGCTAACTCAGTTGGACTGGATTAAAGACCAGATCATACACCATGAAGTTTTGGGCGTTTAAATCAAGGACATTCACAGAAAAGTATGCAACTAAATCCTTAGCTTCTAAATTATGCAGTTGTACAGCTTGTTAAATAAAGATCTCTGTTCTAATCAGCTTAAGTAAGTAAGCAAAATATCGTTCGTTCTTCGGTATTTGAATGCAACTTATGAAAATGTCAACATTACCATAGATAAACACATAAATATAAAGTGTGCCCTTGATAAATTACTTTCATTTGTGTCACATATGGAAATAAACTTAAACTAGTTCAGCAGAACGCCCTGAATGTACAACTAATATAATTTAAAACATCACAAACACAACTGAACTATACGAAAATGTTTACATTTTATCTCAACGTCATGAAATCAACTGGTTGTCATATGATAACATTCTATAGTGTCATGGGGAAACCTTAGAAGGTCTAAAGTTATCGAGGGAAAAAGCCTCTACAACATACAGATAGTGTAATGTCAATTTCCTGGAATCCTGCCTATTGTTCTAAACTGCTTTTCAATCAGGTACAGGGGATTTGCACCTACAGATAATTTAATTTGCAAAAACTTTGTTTATGATAAATTGTAATAAACTAAGGTATGATTACGGACAATCGTAAACGAAGCAAAGATCAACCACTAAAGTAATGCATATTTTACATCGCGAGAGGAGTGCCAATTATGAAATCACTTGCGAACTTTAAGTATGTGTAAATTGCTGAAATTAAACACTACTGAGTAAATGAATATTCACACAAATAACTATAACTGGCCGATTATGCATATAACTGGTGACTGGAAACACTTAGTATAGTCTTCAATTTACAATAAAAAGATGTGCTAACCAAAATGTTTGCATTCTCAGTGGAATGGCAATGAATGAATATGGGTTCCAATATTGCCTTGAGCCAGTTACATTGGAAGGTGTAGACTTCCGAGTTGGGGTCGTTGAGACATGGTATCGACACCTATTATGAGTACACAATACAACTAAATTCACTTTTAGTATCATACTTTGAATTTTTGTTCTTACTTTCATCTAACTTAGTAAGAAATTATCGAAAACCTCTTTGTCTACAAACCAAATAAAAACTAAATAGTGTGTTTGTTTCGGTACTACCGAGCAGTAGACAGTCAAGTAAATGAGGTTATTGAAATATATAAAAAGCAAAGCCTTAAAAGTGATGACAAAAAACTAGTGGATTTTAATATAATAAATAAAAATAATGGATTCTAAGATCCAATATGTTTCAACTAGAACATGAACAAAAGCAATTCCTTTTGTATTTCACATACAGTCGTACACTTACCTTACAAACATGCTAACCGCATAGCAGGAAAGAAAGATAAGGTCAAGTGTCCCGAAAAGGGAGTCATAATTTTTGCCGTCTATTACGCAATAACGGTGATATAAAGTTTATCAATATAGTATAGCCTACCAAATGGTGCCCAGTCACAAAACGTTTCATTGTCAGGAACTATAATTTTTCCCTCCTTGTTAGCCTCATCAGAACAATTTTTATGAAGTACAGATTTCACAATGCTAATCGGTTTTCGAGAGAGATGATAACATGTGTAGATAACCAACGTGAAGAAGAATATATGCACGCGACCACTGAAATGTAAGAATGAATTTTAATGGAAGCTACGTTTTTGAATTTAATGGTGGAAGGCATCGCTGGAGAAGCTTTGCTCCTGGTGCCAACTGCACCATCTGGGAGACTAACCAATCATCTACCGTAACCTTGAGCCGAAAAGTCGCGGGTTATGCTAAATATTAAATTACTTTTGGGGATTTCATTCCAAATATCTCTAGAGTGTACAGATATATTGAACTATTTTTGTAATAAAATTAGAACAGTGATATTCAAATATCTCCTAATAAGTGTTGTTATGTGTCGAAATGACTTAATACGAGCTTCATTGTTGGTAGTAAGAATTTCCTAATTTCTAGTGGACAACTCAGTAGTTACTTTCACTATTCTCTCGACATACCTCTGGCAGACCGCGAAAGCAGCTGATGTTTGGCTAGGTTTCTTATTTATGTTATTGTTATGATCAACTTTAATGTGCATGAAAGTTTCTACTAGCACGGAACAATACAACTGTACGACTGTACATATATTTTATCCTTCAACCTTCAGTGGGCTTATTTGACGTAGGTGAGAGAACACTTAGTGAACCAATGCGTAACAGTAATCAAATGGTCTAAAATACGGGTTTTATTACAGGATTAGTTCTGCTGAGTAGTTAAACGTGCCCAAGGAGCCGTTCACCAGTAGCCAAACATAAAGTGACAGAAAGCCAAATGGAGTAGATACTTCACTGCATATCCTCAGATTAACAAGCCGACCTAAACAGCGACAGCCAGCGCACAGTATTGGGTTGTGTGATCACTTATCACTACAGCTTACTGCTTAATCGTATCATGAAAACCCAGAGAGGACTCCAACCGGGTGCAAAACCGAATGGTGGAACAACTAGTAAAACTCAACTGAATGGTACGATTGCAGCATGACAACCCCCAAGTCTCTTTTCTAAAGAATTATCATATGTTCGTTCGTTTGCTTCTGTTCAGTCCTGGCTGAATTTGGAGAAGAAAAGAGGAAAGCTGGGGATCTTGTCGAGAAGAGAACGTCAAAATTGGTTGGATTTGTACTTATATACCCAGAGCGAAAACGGGAGGACACGAAAAAGCATTTACTTCATGGGACAGTGAACACAGTGCATATGAGGCGTGGCACAGAGAAAAAAATTGACAGGTGACGACGTATAAACGTTTCTTCGAGAGACTTTCCTACATAAAATGAGACACGCTTATTGCGTCCTGTAAAACTTTTGCGGAGATGCTCTGGAAGTCGTACAGCCTGTCCGAAACGTGCTTTTGCTCTATCTAGGTGCGGCCTACTGTTACAGGTGTGGTGTTGTCTAACTCTAGGTACTATGGGGCATATGGTTGGAGTGATTTTATGTAGAACGACTAGGTCTGGATAAATAAGGCTATCCTTAAGTCATGCCAGTTTCCGACAAACGGTACTCATTTAGTCTTCGTGATCGCTTTCGTCTAAAACCAGCGATTTCCTCGTACATTATGCGACACTATGTGGTCGTATGTAAGGTGGAATAAACTGGCCTGTCAGTCAGTGTTTTTCGTTCACCAAATGTCCAGCATGTTGTTTACGACGAGAAAAATGGAGGGTGTTAACATAGTTCAATCCAGGGTGCCCGAGGCTGGTAGTCCACTCCTCAGCCGCCTGTGGAAGTGTTTTGCAATGCTGTCTGCTTGAGGGCGGCAGACGGCTGTTTTTAAGTGGTTTGGCAGTTTAGCCAAAACTAAGAATAAACCACTTTTCGAATATTCTTCTTCTGATGTGGAAGGCGGACATCTGAAATTTAAAGTTAATCTCACGACGGAAACACTTACGATCCTTTAAGCAGATATACCTATCAGTGATGGTTAACGCCAAGTGGGAGTTCAATGAACTTGTTCATTTGGAACACTTTCTTGATCGTTGGATGCAACAATCCCTGTCGTATCTTAGACGATGACTCGCCGATAGAAGACCAGTGCAATACGTCCGGAATTATCAGTATGTATTATAATGACGTCATTTGTATACTTTTTAATGTGTTTATAGTAAAAACTGTGAATCACATGGTCAAGCTGCTGTGTAATTAACCTGCTATTTTGGCCTATGCTTAGTTGACCAATAAATCTTCGGCCTAGTCAAACGTCCGTCTTCTAATACCGCCTGCGTTGAAATTTAGCTAGTTATTAAATGCGCAAAATGGTATTGTGTTCCGGGGAGTTACCTCCTGACTACAACAAATTTTCCCGATACTGTTATTGACATACACTTTGGGACTACTGCTTCAAGACATTGAGTTAGATAGTCAACGAATGTTAGGATATGGGTTTGTCCTGAATGGAGCTCATCCAGATTTATGTGAACGTGATAAAAACGCGAATCAATGTTTAGAAACGTACCAAGATAGCTTTTATGTGTTATTGCTTACTACAAGTCATCTGTGTGTGATTCGTTATAAGTACGTGGCAGA